TTTCTTTATTGGATGGTGACTACCGTGGCTAAAAAGCAAAGGAGGAGAAAATGAGAAAGAAAGGGATGGATCTAGCTAGATGTAAATAGAAACAATGAGCATATCAGCATGATGTGTTACGGCAATTATTGAATCAAAGTGATAATCGATGAGTGGATAAGTCTTTTACTGGTACGTCGTCGCCTCCTAAAATGGGAACAAAAAATGATATCACTGCAGAATCTGAAAAAAAAAAAAATTCACTACGTTCTCATGACTCTCCCCTTCCTCTCCAAAATCTGATTCTTTTCTGCCATTTGTTCCAAATATGGCCGAATATGGACACACACCGTTTGGTCATGCTCATGCTTTCATGTCCTTATTACTACTAATTATCTTGCACATGGAGGCTGAAACAAATGTGGGGACTTTGAGTGGTTTTGCGGCTGCAGTTCCTTATCTTTTCCCTCGAGCTAGCGTTGGCCCAGTAGTTAACCTGTGCCCTCCGATTTCCAAAGAAGAAAATGATTGAGATGTATTGATTTAAGACACTTACTAATATTTATCAATTTATTAATTAAATTAAATAGTTAAAAATATTCTCATATGAAATTTAAATTTAATAAATATATTATAAAATATGTTGAATTAAATGGTATATATCAATCATTATCTTTTTAAAAATATCATAGCTGCAATATTTATAAAATTTATGTTAATTGAAATTTTTACTTATAACTCAAATATAATTAACCATCTTATAAGTTTTTATTTTTTTTGGAAAATGATTAGTATGCTATTGGTTTGATACATTTTTTTATACTTGTTTAGTTTAACTATTAAAATGTAATATAAGCATAGTTTATTTAGTTGATTCTTATATCTTATATGTCTAATTGTATCTTTAAATTCGTTTGCCTTTAAATTTTATACCATAAAATAATAATTTTTAATGAATTTATTATATAGTATATTAAAAAAGATGGTGTACCAATCACTATCTTATTTTTTTTATTCATATCCTATAAGTTGTTATTATATGTGATTGGAGAAAATTACAACATTATGATAATTAAAATGTCATAAGTAATTATAAAAATATAAAATATTTTTAATAAATTAGTTTGTCATAAATAATTCGTTAAGGATATTTAAATATTCATAAGAACTTTAGGATGTATTGATTTTTATGTAATTCAAATTATATTGGATTGCATAATATTAATCATTGAATGTGAATTGAGTCTTTGATATTAAGATTCCTTATGGAGACCCAATTTTCATTCAATAATCTACAATTTAAAGTCTAGTACAATTTAAACTATAGAAAAGGGTTTCCTCTATACAATATATATGGAGATTAATGCTTATATGCCAAATCTTTATAAAATTATGAGAAAAATTATTTTAAAGTTATGTCATTTTAATAAAATAATATAATAAATTACCAAAACAATTTTATTTTAAAGTTTATTGAAATGATGTGATTTAAGAATATTTTCTCTTAATTTTTTAAAAATTTAGTTCATATACACTACTTTTGTCGAATATATGAAAGGCATATGTACTTGTAATGCTATATCTTCTATCACAAAATTAATTTTTGCACCAAAGTTCTTTCAGATTGATTGTGAATCTCAACGGCTCCAAAGATGTGCGGTCCAATGAATTTATTATTTACGTATGCTTGGGGGGATGACCTTGATGATTGGGCAATCGTTGTGTCCTAATGCAGAGAGAAAAAACTCCCCAAAGAAGGAGAGACGTTTGGGCTCCATGTCCTAATCAAGCTTAAAAAAACCCATCTCATATCAGGAGAAAATTTACACCGAAAAGCTAAAGCAGGAAACAAAGTCACTGAAATCTCGTGTTATCGCCTGCCATGTGATATCCGAACCATCTCCCTCCGACCAAAACCTCTACACCTCTCCTTTCCTTTCCGACAACGAGTTGAAAGGGCAACTTTGTCTTTGTCGTGCCAATGTGTCATTGCATTTGCTTCCGGGACGAGCCACGCAACAACTCTTCTTTTGCTCTTCACGCGCTTTTCCTTCGTTTAAGCATCACGTCCATCTCTTTGGTTGAATAAAATTAAGGTTAAATCCTCAATTTGGTCCTTGACGTATTGTACTGATCTTTAATTTGATCTTACTGTTTACCAATTTACCCCAGATTGGTCTTTTCGCACAAAAAACAGTTAATGTGTCTTGTTATTAACGTAATAGGTGGCCATTAAGTTACTATTTTTTGCCGTTAAATAATGGACATGTCAATTATTTTTTGTACGGAAGGGCTAACTTGGAGGTAAATTAGTAAATAGTATGGGCCAAATCGGGGTCCGTATAATAGTTTAAAGACTAAATTAGGGATTTTTTTTAGTTTAGGGATCAAATCGGAGGTCCGTATAATAATTCAAAGATTAAATTAGGGTTTTAACCTAAAATTAAATAAGAACACCATGATGAATTAGGAAAAACCCTTAAATCTACCCTTAATAAGGACGTAGGGACAAATTTGTCCCTACAAAAAATATAAGGATAAATTATCCATCTAGATTATAAATAAAGACAAATCACTCATTTTTTAATGTATGATATCAGTTTTTCGTTAAAAAATGCTTACGTGATTAACAAAAAAATTGATATTATAAGTTAAAAAATGAGTAATTTATTTTGATTTATAATTTAGAATGATAATTTATCCTTATATTTTTTTAAGGGGTAGATTTGTTCTTACCACTCTATTTGAGGAGTGGATTCAACAGTTATGCTTGACGAATTATACTTATGTTCTTTTATGTTTTGGGTTGGTCTTCCAAATGATGTGGCTTCAAATGGTTGGGGGATGCCCCTCTAGGTTTTGGATGATTAAGTTTAGAATTGAGGGACTCCATAATAGCTTAAGGTTGTTTAGGGCTAACTTGAGTTATTCATCTATTTATTTAGAATAATTGTAATAATAACTCAGGTAAAAACTTGTTTTTAATCTTTTACCTTAATAAATTTATAGGTTTTAGCCCATCACTTATATGAATTAAAAAAAAAAAACCCTTACTTAATGTCAAACTATAACATTTTGTTAGTTCTATTAGTTGACTGTTAGTTTTATTAGTTTTATTAGTTGACTATTAGCTCTGTTAGTTGATTGTTAACTCTGTTAGCTGATTATTAATATTCTATTAACATAACTAATAAATAAAATTAAATTTAAATTTAATGTTTTCTATAATGAAATGTTAACAATCAGTTAACAGAACTAACAGTCAACTAACAAGATATTAAATAAAGGTTTTTTTTGTTTTCAATTTATATAGGTAAAAAGTTAAAAATGTCATGATGTAAGGTGAATGGTTAAAACTTATACACTTATAAAGGTAAAAAGGCAAAATAAGCTATTTCTAATTAAACAAATTTAAGAATACCAATAAAAATTTAGTAGAAATAGTATTCATTAACTTAAAAAAACTTTAATTAAGAGTTAAAATTAAAGATTTAAACATATGAAATATTAAGTGACTAATCTTTTATTATTAAAAAAAAAAAAAGAACAATATGAAGAATTTTTGGGTTGGATGTAGGGGCTGTTTGATTAAGTTGGTTTGTAAGTAAAAGTAGCTTAATGTGGCCGTCATTTTTAGGGACGTATGTATTGCTACGTAGTGGTTGGTGGGTGAGGCTTGTTTCTCGACTCTGCTGGCGACCCCACCTTTTGTGAATGGGCTTTTGTGTCATTTCATGAACAGTTACAACGTAGTGAGCAATTATAAATGCCTAGAGTCCCAAAGCTGACAGTACGTTCTTAATGTAAATGGAGCAACCACCATACACTGAGAATGACCTGACCGCAACCACCACCGCCTCTCCGGAGTCTACCACCCCGAAAACTGATTCTCAACGAGGCGGGACTCGGCATCCAGTCTACCGGGGCGTCAGGAAACGCCGGTGGGGCAAATGGGTGTCGGAAATCAGAGAACCGCGCAAGAAGTCACGCATTTGGCTAGGCTCATTCCCTGTCCCTGAAATGGCCGCCAAGGCCTATGACGTCGCCGCGTATTGCCTCAAAGGACGTAAAGCGCAGCTGAATTTTCCCGACCAAGTTGATGATTTACCTCGGCCGAAGACTAGTACGGCTAGGGACATTCAGGCGGCGGCAGCAAAGGCAGCACATACAGTAGTAATATCATCTAAAAAAAGTAGTGTCACTGATGGTACTCATGATGATGATTTCTGGGGTGAAATTGAGCTGCCAGAATTAATAAACAGCGGGTGTCATGAATATTGGAATTCCTGCGGGTGGTCGAACTTCGGCGGCGACACATCGTGGCTCGACGGCTAGACCCAGCAGCACTTCTTATAGCATATCTCTGACTCTGATGTACGTGTATCTCAGTATTGCTACGAATATATGTTCTTATTAGAACCTGGTGGTAAGTATAGTCGTCTCTGACTCTCTGTAAAAATTTTCACCAGTTGCTATATTACGCGGAACACTGTAATTCACCTGGTATGGTACAGAAACTTCCCAATAAATTTAACATTTTTAGGTAATTATTGAATTCAAGAAATTAATAATGGAGTTGGAGGATGTTCCTGAATTTTTGGATTTTTAATTTGGATGATGTTCCGGATAAGTACTGTGGCTACAATACGTTCTGTTTTCCTTTTCTTTTTCTTTTTTTTTTGGTATTCTAAAATAAAAAGAGGTTAATTGATGCAATTTGTTACTCTTCTTTCCCTCAAAAATTGACACAGGGAGAGAGGGATGGAGGAGACATGTTTTGTTCTTCTTCTTCTTCTTCTCTCTATTTTTATTTTATTTTATTTTATTTTATTTTTTTTTATGGTATGATATCATGCTTCGCTCCTTTTCCTTTTTGTAAATAAACAAAAAACATCACTATATTTTATATATATATATATATATTCAAATCAATTGAGACTCTAACTATAGTTTAGAGTGAATCATTTAAGGTCAGTTTCATTTGAAGCCTACTGGTACAAAATAGCTCTTAATTCAACTTCTGAAACTGCATGCGTTGATAAATGCAACATTGAGTACTGGGCTGTGGGACAGGACGCCATTGTTGTACGTTGAAAAATTGGTACTGATATATATATATATTTTATAATGCTAGTTGCGAAAAGAAACTTCAAACTTTTTCAAATTAAAAGTTGTCGCTTTCTTCATTTTCCTTGTTTCAATTTTGCTGATGTATATGGGGTCTCCGAAGCCTAAACTCTGTACAGCTCCATTACTGCTGGCATCGTATATATATTTCCACTGCATGTCCACTGCCACAATAATAGAGCTACTCATTACATACAATTAAACACGATCAAAATAATAGGGCTATAAGCCTGTAACGTGTAAAGTCGAGATATACCTATACATATATATAAGTATATAGTATTATGAAAGAGGTGAGGTGGGAATTGGGGAGTGGTTTTTTTTTTTTTATGTATGAGCTTAGTGGGAGGTGGGAGAGGTGTAGGAATTAATTGGCTTTGTTTGGTTGTGGAAAGGGTCAATTGTTTAGGCACCACACAGCAGAAGATATGTGGAACCTCACTGAACCACGTGACATAATTTTGGAATGGAAGTTGTGGAGGGGAAGGGAATATCATATCATCTATGGTATGGATGCTTCTGTAATCAATTTTTGCTTTCTGCATGATTGTTCTCTGCTCAGTAGATGCCACACATTCCAACCCCACACCTCGATTACCAAAATCCACAGACACACCACAAAACGGCGTCGTTGAATGGATAGGGTGTGATGCCCTTTCATTTTTGGTCTACTTTGGGTCCGATACTAAAAGCCCATATAATCTTTTTGGTTTCGGTCTGTGCTGGAATCCGATAACTAAAGCCCATCCGTCCTAATCTTTTAGTCAAGCCCATCAAATTGAGAAGACGAGATCCACAGTACATGGGCCCCCTTTTCTAGTTTCTAATAAAGCCTACTGGGAACTTTCCCCCCAAAACATCCACCAATCAACGGCTGCCACGCGTCCTCTG